CGTATTTTAGCAAGCTAACACCGGATCCAATCCAAGGCGTTGCCGTGTAGTGGATCTCGTCTATTTCTCGTTTCGGCTCCCAAATCATCAATTTTTCACATTTCAAAAAATTTTAAATCGAGGTATTCCGACTTACTTTTTGGTAAAACTCATGTATATAAAATGCTTATAAGTTATTTTTTTACTATGGTCTATATTTTTTGTAATCATTTTGTGATTTAATTATTTTTTTATCCGAATTAGTTTATTTATGTGCTAAAAAATTAGTAAAAATATATATTATTATTTTATGAATAATTATTGTTATATGTGATTTTATTGTTGTACGTATATTAATATGTGACTTAATTATTATTTAGTATCCTTTAGTATTATGTTGTGCCCTTAATTGTTATGTAGTGCCCTTTAATGTAGTAAAACTGATAATAAATTTTAGCTTATGGTAGTTTACTTTGTTTCTAGCCATTTAGAATAGTGTTACTTTAGTGCTCTTTAAGATTCCGTTGTGTAGAATAAAAACTATGTGCTCTCCTTAACAAACTCGGATGGAGTACTCAATTATGGATTTAATGTATCATATGATAATTATCAAATATTATATATGAATCATAAAATAATCAATTGACGTTACAAAAGAGACGTTGCCGGGAAATTTGGGCAAAACATGATAGTTAACAAACAAATCGTTACGAATGAAATAAATTCAATATTATTTACTATTAAGTTTGTGGTATTTTAGTGTGATTAATTATTGAATATATCTTGATTACTTATGAAATTTTAATATATAATTCTGTTATAATTCAAAAGTAACTTAAAAAGATGATAGTTCAAACAAAACTATGTAGACTTTTAGTAGAAAAATGTAGAAAATTAACATATGAAATATTAATATAGGAAATTTATCAACCTAAGTATTTGTTATATGAATAATTATAAAAATATCCTTTTAGTTATTGAAATCAATTATTTAATTCTCTGTTAACCCCAAAAATATCTGAAAAAAAGATGATTGTTCAAACTCAAATCCTCTCGAATTTTAGTCAAAAAATGTAAGAAATAACATATAAAACAACAATATATAATATTTATCAAACTAAGTATTTTTATATGAATACTTATTAATTATATCATGTATATTTATGCAAATTAATTATTTAATTCTATTATACCCAAAAATAGCTGAGTACGAAACTAACATATAAAATAATAAACTAACATATAAAATAATGTAAGAAACTAATATATAAAATAATAATATAGAAAATATATCAAGCTAAGTAATAATATAGAAATATTATCGATTAAATATTAATATAAAAGATATTGCAATATATTTAAAGATGTTAAATAATTAAACAAAAAAATACTTTAATTAATATTGTTCAATTTACAGACATCGTCATGGAGGTTCCCTCTGTGCATCCCGGACCTGCATCTCGAGAGCTACTGTTGCTACAAGGCAACCATAGGTTTTTACACATCTGGGATGGGCACTGTCTGTCCCAGACCTTCCGCCCCAGACGGATAGACGATATGTGGGAGTTCATTAGGGACCACCCACTGCATCCCCGTATAGTTAGACTCCTTCAGGGGACGGGTTTTTACAGGATCATTGAGATCGGCCGGTTGTAGTTCGACTGAGCGCTTATCACGGCTATGATAGAGCGGTGGCTACTAGAGACGCACACGTTTCATCTACCCATTGGCGAGGCTACCATCACGCTAAAGGACATGGACGTTCTTTTTGGGCTGCCCGTTGATGGTATACTTGTAGCTTACCCGCATGTTCTTACAGACTATACGGGAGAGGATTACCTTCATATGTTGTAGCGGCTCACCGATTTCAAGCCAACGGAGCCGACTGCGTTGAGTGGGGCCAGTCAATTGTAGCTGACGCCCGTTCGGCAGCATTTGGTGGCGATAGACGCGAAGATTACTGATGATTCATTGCCGGACGATATCGACCGGCACACAAGACTGTTGCTTCTGATGATGTTTGGTGGTATACTATTCCCGAACACTTCGGAAAACCTAGTCAACTTGCGATTTTTACATCATCTGGAGCGCCTAGATAATTTATCTAGTTACAGCTGGGGTGCAGCTATTCTAGCTTATCTGTATAGGCAGATGTGTCGGGCGTACATGAATACCCAGAGAGACGTTGCCGATTTTTTACGGTTGTTCCGGGTGAAAACACAATGTATAGTCTCGATCATAAATTGCAGGTCCAACACGTAAAAAACAAACTCATAACTCTCCCTAATGTCCGCCAACCCATAGACAGACTTCATTCCAAATCCATAAAAAATCTCAATGTCCATGTGTTTTTTTTTTTTGCGATTTCTCTATTCTGTTCCTTTCTACGTATCAGAACCAGTACTCTATCTGCTCATAGCCACAATACATGTTTTCTCTTCAAATGCCACTTCAGCGTAAAACGACAAATTTGCCTCGATTGAACTAATTGTAATTGTGTACGTACACTACAACTGGCCTCTTTATCCCATTCTGCCAGTCAAGAATTAAAAGGACAAGAATTATTAACCTAGTCTGTTCCTAAA